CTAGGAACAGTCTGCCTGCCTCAAACACGTCAAAACTCTGAGTCATGATGTTTTGCTTGGGTCCTGCCCCCACCCATTGACAGTCTGTATTAGGGGTCATATTGAGGGCTCTATATAACCATATTGTAAACATTAGCCAGCTGTTCATGAGTGGGGGGGCAGTACCCTATTTTCTGTCTTAATATTTGCTAATTGACGAGGGAGGCTGGAAAAGGGTCGTCCAGGGGTCAATCACTCTTTACCGTGGCCCGGTGCCGGATTCCTGTACCGCGGCAAACAGGATAGTAGATGCAAGAATAATCGCCATCGCATAACAAAACACAACATACCTAGCCAATCAATCCTGGTGAGAAGCACAGGAATTTAGTAGTAGTCATAGTAGTCATAACAATAAAAGAATAATGCCAACAATATTAATACTACTAATGATAACAACAATCGTAAAACAATCAAATGATCTGATGAGCTGTGGATCTGAGGCTTGGACGTGCTGAGTGAGACCGGGTTCTAGACTGAGGCAGCGCCGCCTGGCAGTACCAGAAAAGCAAGGAAGCGAGCAACCACGTTTCTGCTTGGTGCCCATTGGCAATGAGAAGCTCAAGAGCAACTCCGACATCATATGGGTGGTTGTCAAAATTATGGTCCCTTTTTTGGGTACCCTAAATATTAGGTGCCCTATTATAATAGGGATCCAAAAAGGGACCACAATTTTGACAACCACCCATATGGTCACCTGCCCAGTTTACAATGTACGGAGTGGAGACCTTGTGTAGAGACAGGCCTTCTCAAGAATCCAATAAGAAGCCAGACGCAGGGACCTGTACTATACTACTTGTAAGGAAAGCACTACCTGCTCAGCCCAGAAACGATATCGCTCACCGGTGTCGGTGGCAAGTCGGTGGAAACTTGCATGAAGCGAGAGAGCCATGTCGCAGTTAGTCGCGGCGTAGTCTTGTCGAACATAATGTTAATCTGGGTTGCTGTTAAGGAACTTAATTTAAGTTACTATATTGGGGGAACCATATTAATTAATATATATATATACCCATTATGATAACTTGATTCAAGTTCCTTAACAGCAACCCATTAATGGTGGACATGCTGCAGCACCCTGAGCACCACAAATCCTAACCCGGGGCTGGTGCAAGGGTTCTACCATCAACAGTACCTGTACCCTGCATAAGGTACGACGTGGTGGCATCGCCAACCTGTGCATCGTTGCCACCAGGTCCTACCCATAAACTGCAATGTTGAAAAATGGCAAATAAGGAGCAAACGCCTGGGGTCATCCTAGAATATTTGCTGAAAAATAAACCTGCGCACAAGGCCTCCAGAAGGACACGCTTGTGTTTTCAGAGTCTGTTGAAATCTGGATCACTGGTTTGGTCTTTAGCGTTCTCTGTGATCCTGCAAACAGGGGTTGATGCTTTTGCCAAAGGATGACATACTCAGCACTGCAAATTGCGCGTAAGGATGTCCAGAAATTTATGTCTAGTCTGTATTCAGTTTAGCTAGGAATCCCTACGGTATGCGCCCCACCATGGGCATGGCACAAGTTACAGATGGTAATTTCCCAAAAATGGGGGGACCCCAATTTAGACCCCAAAATATTACAATCCTTAGAATTGGGACCCCCAAATTCAAAAAAGTACCCCTAATTTTGAGAAAGCCCTAATCCCTATAATCCCCTTTACACCCCCAACTTCCATTTCATTTTCCAGTTTTTTTTTCCATTTGATTCTCCACTGTTGGGGGACGTCTAGGAAACCCAGATGAATAGCCTAAGCCCAGTCTCAGCAGCAGCCTCACGGCCGTCGGCCACCTCCGCGTCCACGGCCTGTCTCGCTGCATGTTTGCTCACTCTCGAATCTGTATACTGGGGTATATATTGGGGTATATATTGGGGTTATGTTGGGGTAGATATTAGGTGCTAGAGGATAAGGGTGGTGCTGTTATTTGGGGCCTGCAAGTTCAAACGTGAGTGGACAGGAAAGGGAGGTGGAGTCGGTGCACGTTTTAGCAAGGCCACCGCAGTTCCTGCTCCGCAGTAGGGACGGTCCTGGATGCCTCTCGCTTGAACCGAACCAGAAAGCCTCAGCAGCCCTTGCCCTGCATCATTGACGGTTTATGGTTTAGGGTTTTAGGGATTTGGAGTTTAGGCCTTCGGAGAAACCACTAGTACTGAACGCCATTCAGGGAACTTGCTTTGGGCTTGTCCTGCCGGAACAACCTTCACCTTTCAATCTAAGGAGTCAGTTCCGCCGGGCCCAGGCTCCAAACCCTACTGTTGATACGAAAAGCCTGCATGACCTCAGTATACTTAAGTACCACAATGTCCAAGGTTTGAGGTACTTTGGGTTATCATGCAGGATTTTTAGTATCCATATAATCCCTGTGTCCTTTTCATTTGCCTTTCTCTTTTCCATTTGCTTCTCTATTATTCCCCTATATACCCTATGTAACCCCTTCAAGGAGACCACTTTAACGCAAATTTGACTTTTCTGTTGATTCTCCATTATTGGGATTATACCCCTAATCCCTGAACCCTGAACACTGATAAAGATTAAAAAAACACCCTGTCTCAGTACGGTCCACACGCCTCCGCCGCCTCCGCCACCTCCCCGCCCCCCGCCATAGCTCTGGCGACCTCTTCCTCCGCCGCCACCTGATGGGTTAGGAGTTAAGGGGTTCAGGGTTTAGGGCTTAGGGCCCAATTAAGGTTCTTCGCACATGATGGGTGTGAAAAGGATCTATGGACAATTGTTTTCTTCCCTGAGCCCAGCTGAGGTTATGGCCCACAGCGTGTAGACAGTCTTGGTGACAGTAACAGTGACAAGAAATCGTGCCATAATGAGAACAACAACAAGCATGCAGAATGGGTCCTGTCACAAGAAATAGCGAGAAAGTGAGAGGAGAGCAACGACTGCGCAGGCCCTCCTACTTACTGCTACTCTTGTCCTTTGAACCAGAAGAATCACTACAGGTCCCGAAGCCCTAGTTTCCTCTCCACGACACTGTATGGAGCACTTGTCCGGAACGATCAGTGCAAAATCCGAGCATGATCTCTACAATGCGGGTATCTTCCATACGAAACATCCGAAATGATCTCCAGGAAGCACTGCAAATCAAAAGCTCCTCTGCCTCCTCCGCCGCCACCTCGACCGCGGCCTCCCCCACCACCGCCGTAGCCGCCCCGACGGTCAGACTGAATGGCAGGCTTGGGAGGAGCATGGGAGCATGCAAGGGTTGAGGGCGTGAGGCTTTCAATCACAATGTGGTTCTGATGCATTCTGTGGCTGTCACGGAAGGATCTATTCCTGCTTGCGGACGGGGGTGCGCCTGGATACATACGTTCAACCAGGATCCAGCTTAGGCGCTCAGTGTGACACTATAGGTCCAGAGGTTGTGGGGCAGTTGCTGGGCATCAGACACGCTCTTATCACTACCCTACCTTTCGAAGCCCGGAACAGTGAGCGCAAAACCTGGGACCCAAATCCTTCGTGGAGAAAGCTTTCGAAGTCGACAGTAGCGATGCATATCTCAGCAACGGTTTCTATATATATATATATATACATATATATATACATAGATACATATGCATATGTATGTGTATATCTCTCGGCTTGAATAAACATGCCATGAGTTCTAATTCACTGTGCATGTTATCAAACGCAACCGGACCCCCCACCCCCCAAAAAAAAGCTCGTGCTCCAGCATCACCACCCCCGATGGTGGCCTGCTCCATGGCGCGCATCTCCGCGCGCATCTCCTCCTCATCTAAGAAGTCGTCATCGAACTCGTCCTCCATGCCCTGGTGCAAGAATGGAGCATGGCTATGGGCTGGGTAGAGACCCAAGAAGTAGACTCCAAACTTCTTAGGACGGCATGCTTCACACCCGGAACCGAGCTGCTTCCCAGCTCGAGTCTACACATCACGGCAGGGTCTAGGTGTCGAGCCTAATGTGGTTTTATGATCATGAAAGAGATCGAACGGAGGCAAATGTTGGGTAGCAGTGCTTCCGTACTTTGCGAATATGTTCAATACGAAGTGCTCAGAGGCCATCCTGTCAATTCCATGAGGACCTCCTACCGGTCCTGCCGATTCCTACCACGGAATGCCTGCCTCACCCACTCCCTAAAGCCCAAATGATCGCTTTGCGGGCCTGCCCGCTAAAGATGGCGACGAACTGCTCGCGCTCCAGACCTTCAGCAATCCCTACATAATAGCCCCGAGGTAATTTTCAAGAAGAACATGCAAAAAATCAATCAGCTCATTTCATCTCCCCTTCTGGAACCAGCGTATTCTCACCATGATTGTTTGCCAAAAGTCAACTCAACACAGAGTCCTGTGTGGCAACTGATGTGAGGGTCCTGGTGTGGATACCTTTATAATCCGCCTAAGTTGTCCCTGCCCTACGCCCTGCTCACGGGCCTTGTTACATGCATCTCCTCTTCAAGAAGACAACTGAACAAGCGCTATGAAGGGGGGTCCATCTGTGGTTTTGAAGCTTCTAGTACAGATTTAGGCTGCTGTTCATGCGCCTAGTCCCTGAAGAATGCCAGGCCTGAACCAAACTCCTTGAGACCTTCCTGAAATCACGTGGCCCAGCCTTACTATAGGCCCATTCTGAAAAGCGTTCGCGGTGGACTAGTTTTTACTCGAGGAGGAAACTTGCCCAATCCTGGACTCTAAGTGCTGACCGGTGAGTGTTGGATGGTCTGGGACACGTTATGTTCTGGGATGCGGCGTGTGTTCTGGTATTTACCGTGGACTGTGGACTGCGCGCCCTAGGCAAGTCAGTAAACACAACATACACAGATTCCTCCCGAAGAGAACCCCCCTGCCGTGTTTGAGGCCAACAACGAATTTGCGTGATGTCTGTCAAGACTTGCGCCCTACTCGTGCAAAGCTGAGTCCGAGCAGACCGGCATTGCAAATGAAACCTTTTGAGGGTTACCAGGTCGCGAAACCAGTTCGCTGAAAGAAGAAGGAAAACTCGTTAATCCCATTGTTGCTCGTCTACGTCCTTCCTGAAAGGCGACTCTGATCTTTTGACGAGGCAGAGGCCGAGAACTTCCAGAAGCATGGCCACATCGCGGAAGCTCATCACTTTCTGGCGCGGGGTATGGGGGTACGCATCCGCATCTTTCTGGTTTTTCTTAGTAATAGGGGAATATTGTCCCTATGTCCTCCAACATATTGTATTCCTTTGTTCCCTACTAACCCCCCCATAAGTTGTGGAGTGTCCTACCCGGTGCCGGTTAGCCCAAACATCCTGAAGAGGAGACTTGACTATTTCTAGGGAGATTCGGGGGTTTCCAAAAATTAGGGGTACCTTGTTGGGGGATCCCTGTAGTAAGGACTACATCAGTGCACCAGTCCGCAAACCTTCGGCATTGTCTGTTCGCATCGACAACAGGACACCTTTACCGAACCTGAACACGTCCCAAAGTCCCAAACCCTAAACCCCCTAAACCACCACCCTAAGCTTATAGGGCCTCTTCTACAGGGACTGTAGTACAGCTTTCAGCGAAGATGCCCATGAAGTGCTTAACCTGTCCTTGCAAAATTAAACCCAAGTCCTCAACCCTAACCCTAAACCCTCTTACATCCCCAAGCCCGATTCTCAATTGTTGGGGCAACATCCCCAAATACTCCTATGCAATGCCATTATGATCCCTATATGAGCTATAATCTAAACTCCTAGTATCCCCTGCAATATCGCACATAATAATCCCCTATATAAATCACTTTCAGGAGTTTAAACTATTTCTCACATATCCCTACTGTAGTCTCCTTAGACTTATGATTTTCAATTTTTCCTTAGGGTTATACTATAATAGAAATTAAACATAATTCCTAAGGACAGTACAGCCTAGAGACCTCTAGATACTAAGCGCCAGCCTTTCCCTCGAACTCCTCAGACTGGAAGTTGGCCAAAAGAGCCATGGCCATCTCGTCCTGCCGTGCCAGGATTCTCAACTTGCGTGGGGAGGGGTGTTTTTTTATAGGGATAATTACCTTCAAAGGGAACATAGGGATTATATAGGGGTTATATATAGGGGTATACAGGGTTTAGGGTTTAGGCTATTGGGTCTGGCTTGAAGCGTTGCGAATACTGTTCAGAAACAAACTGAGCAGACACAAGACTTGTGCATCACCTTCTTTGTAGAGGGATCGAATCGCCCGACGAGACCCGACATCAGAGTCATCAGAGTCGACGAGCGAAGAACCCAAAAAACGCAATAAAAGCCACTCCCCGAGGAATGGTTGGGCCCGTAAGGAATTTAGCTAAAGTCGACAACATTACAGGAATTTGTGGTCAAAGTCGACAACCTTTTTCGCAAAATGTTGTCGGACAAGCGGTAAATGTTGTCGGGGAAGCGGAAATAAGGTTGTCAGCCTCGACGGCTTTCTTTTCTTTTGGTCGGCTTAAAAGGAATTTGTCTCAAGTCGACAACATTACAGGAATTTGTCGTCAATGTCGACAACATTTTCGGCCAAATGCTGTCAACCTCGACGGCGGCAAGCGCCTGACAGGACCCAGCGTCAAAGTTGGCAACATTTGAGGGTGCCGGATTTCGGGGTTTAGGGCTTGCAGTAGGAGGAAGAGGAGGAAAGCAGCTACTTGTACAGCCCTGTATGAAACTGATTTAACTCAAGCATCCCAACCCTAACATTGCATCCTATAATACCTTTTTTCCTTCAGCTCTGAAGAAATGGCCCTCCGAGGGCCTCTGTCCTCATGCTCTGGGTTGGGGCCGCTCCGGGCTTGGACACTCCAGGGACTCTCTGTGGTTGGGCCCTGTAGGTACGGATCGTGCAGCCCTAGAATTTGCCAAAGCAAATGCAGCATGTGGCCGTTCGATTGCAACACCAACACCTACATGAAGCCTTGACAATGCAACGCACACTTTCCAACCTTCTGACTTACAAGAACTGAACCTAATGAGACATCAAGGCAGGATATGTAGGATCCACCCTAAGCCCTAAACACCCAGCTCCAACCTGACGCTTCTTGCGCTCAACAACATGGCTCCTGATAGCAATAATCCCTAGGAACACTCGCAGTAGCTGACCATCATACTTGTGCTTTCCAGCAAGATACTGTAAGCCATTCCGGAGACACGTCTGATCTCCTAAACCCCATAAAACACAAAACCCGAATCCCCCGAAACCCTAACCCTAGCCTGGCCCGAACCCCTGAAGTGTCCAGCTTTAGGGTTTAGGGTCAGAACCCCTCTCCTTCTCCCAGCCATCCAACACTTCTGGAGGTGGCCTCTGGATGTCGAATCGCCACCGATAGCAGCCAGAATTGATAGGGTTTTGGGTCTAGGGACGTCTACAAGCAATGAAAAGATACCCGTAGAAATGGTAGCTGGGGTTGAAAGTTGAAAGAATGATTGACATAGTACCAGTCATGGTAGCAGTATGTGCGTGAGAGCAAGCACGCAAGCTGCAGTAGTGATCAATAAACTCTTTAAAATGATGAGGGGGGTTCCATGAACAGGGAGCCCAAGATCCCAATATACTATCATCCTTATTACAGACATCCAACCCAACATGGAGCCCTACCTAATCTTTGGAAACCGCGATGAAATAATGGACAAATCAATGTTGGCGCAGTGTAATCTGAAGCCCAAGGCTGGAGTCAGCCTTAGAGGCCTGAGCGAAATATGAACTCCACACCCACTGAAAACAAGGGATAATGGGAAATTTCATCAGGGCCCCTACATAAGCGAGGACAGCCCCTGCAGCGATGGTATGTCTTCTCAAGCGCCCCTTGCACCATGTTGGACTCTGGAAGTCGTGCTAGAGGTTTGGGGTCTAGCAATGTGTTGAAGTTGCAGTTCCTACTTTGGCAGCATCCTTGCTTTTTCGGCATACCTTTACTGTCGCTGCTGTGCCCGTTGCTATTGCTCTCATTTTTTGCGCGAGCAACTGCGCCCCGGGCCCATCCAACTCCATGTAGTCGCCCTCCTCCTCGTCAAACTCATCGCCATACTGCGGCTCAGACAAGATGTGGGCAGGTATGTGACAAATACGTGGAGAGAAAAAGTGTGAGCTGGACTTGTTTGAAATTATGAGTCCTGGTGGGCGTTTGCGGGGAGAGGGTTAAAAGAGGTTGTGCATCAGGGACCCTAACTTTGAGAAGGTCCAGGCACGGCTTTGATAGCATATCATTGATCTCTACCAAGTCCCTAGCATTTCGCACAGTTCTTGTTTTGCACGCTATCAGAAATCTGTAACGTGTCTTGACAATGGTTAATGCTATGGACCTGCATTCCAACCGGATGATTTGGCACCGTACGCGCCATCCTGCCATCCAGGAAGCGAAGTCATTCACCCTTCGAGTCGTTCAGGTTGGGCGATGGTTAGCCGCACTTGGGTTTCCTCTTGTCCGCCTCCCGTCTTAGCGGTCAAGCCGGATAATAATGTGCTTAGCTTCAGGGCTTCAAAATGCTCCCGCTCTTGTTGTAAGTGCGCGGGAACCTGTCCAATTGGGAAGCCAAGTCCTGCTTTACATGTAGCCATTCCGGCCCAAAAGCGCGTGCAAGCGCGTGCAAGCACCCTTTGGTGCTCCACATTACAAAAGCGTGGCCTTGTCTGCAGCCCTGCGCCCTACTGCCCTGCTCAAATGACATCTTCGTTTTTGGGATCCTGGACCGCCACAACCGCGGCTACAACCTCACCCCGAACTTCACCCACGGTCTTCACAGGCTCGCCCACATATTCGACCTGCAGGGCCTCCTGCATGGCAGCGCAACAGCCGCAGAAGATCCAAACGAGACAATCGCAGCAGCAGGTGCCACACGTGTCATTCTCCATTCCGTAGCGTTGCCGGATGTACCGCCGGTGCAGGACCTGCATCACCAGAAGCGCCAGGGAGAAGACGATGGCTGCACATGTCCAGGCAAAGTATGGCAGACTCTCTGTCTCATAATTCAAGTAGAGGATGACGACGCCAGGGAGCTTAGCGAGGACAATAAGCAGCTCAAAGATGAAGAAGCCAAGCAGGAAGGTAGGCCCGTTACAGCCGAAGAAGTTTACGGAGCTGGCCGTCTCTGCCCAGCGAAGGGGCAGGCACCAGAAGGAGCAGCAACAAATCCGGCTGCGGCTGCAGCCTTCGCAGAGGCCGTACTGGAAGTCTTGGCCACGCTGCTGTCGCACCTCCTCGGGTGGAGGTGTGTACCGCGGGCACGCTGCGTAGATCAGGCCCACGATCACTACCAGGACCACCTGCGTCACCAGCATGACGGTGGCTGCACGCTGTACCTGTACAGCTCGCTGCTCGACCAACTCTGCAAACCTCATCTGCAGTTCCTTTTGGGATTCCTCGGTCTCAGCGGGAACCTTTTTGGTCTCGCGTGCATCTCCAGAGTTCCCGGTGTTCATCCCAGCATCTTCCTCTCCCTCCGTCTTCGGGCTCACTGCAGAAGTCTGGTGCTGGTCCTTAACACCCCGCAGGGCCTGCAGAGAGGCCTGCTCAAGGTCCTGTGCAGAACTAAAGGGTGCAGCAAGGGCGAGCACCAACAAAAGGCTCAGGCCACGTAAAGCCATGGCGTCCCTAGCAACTTGGCACCCTTCACTGGAAGACTTGAGCAAGATGCTGAGCGCAGCAATTCACAAAGGAAGCACCCAGAAAGGCTGAATCTGCAGGAATGCTTCAGACATGGCCCATGGAACTTCACTCCTCATTTCAGGCCATGTCTGGTAGAGAGAGAGTTTGGCCAGCCAGAAGGCAGGCAGGCCGAGAGGAATTTTGAACAGGAGGACGCGAGTCAGAGTGGTGCCTCATCCTCCTCAGAGTAGAGCAAGTCATCCTCGTCCTCTTCCCGGACCTGGAGAATCTGACAAGCACAGCTGTGACATACCATGCTTCAACAAATTCGAAAAGCTCCGAGAATTTGAGATTCCGAATTCTTAGGGTGGACAAAGGGACTCTGATTTCCGCAATGGCCCTCTGCTCTCTGCAATCCCCCAACCAACTGCCCTATGCACACTGTATCTCACAAATTTCACAAGACAAAGACAACACCTCATGTTCTGGGATACGCTCATGTCTGTGGTGGGCCCTGCTTAGTCACCTTCGTACCCTCGCCTGTAGGCTTTCGGGCTGCAAATTGGGCGTACCCTTGCAAGCACAAGCTTGAATGATTACCAAAGTTGTAGTCCTAAAAATCTTGTACAACTATACTACGGGGTACCTCAAACAAACCTCAAATGGCTTTGGTAATTATTCAGGTTCCCTACACTGCATGGCCCCTAAACTCAGTTTCCATTTCGTTCTCCATGTTCTTTTCCAGTTGATTCTCCAGCCACTATCGGGGTAAGGTCCCTAAACCCCATATGATCCTCACATATAATGGCTTCCATTTCGTCTTCCGTTTGGTGGTGCATTTGGCTCTCCATTTTTGGGTAATATCCCCAAACCCTAAATAATTCTCATATCGAGCATTTCCCATTTCATTTTCTTGTCTATCATCCCTATATACCCCTACACATACCCCTCATACAACCCTTATAGAATTCTTTTACAGCCATTGTATGTACCATAGTCTAAACTCCTAGTATCCCCCTTAATAACCCCTATAGTAGTCCCCTATATAACCCCCCTTTAAGGAGTTTAGACTATAGCCCATATAACCCCTATGAGGCGTAAACCGAGGCCCAGACGGCCTTTGGCTTGCCAACGCTTGCAGGTGCCGCCTGATTCGCTTTAACCCGCGGTACTGCTAGAGGGAGCAGTAGGGTATTTTAGGGTAGCATAGATTCCTATACCGTTTTGAATTTAGGATAGTACAATAATATAGGGTATCTAGGGTATCTGGGGCCTTACAAGGTTTTTGATCTTAGGATGGATATCTAGGACCCCAAACTTTCCTCTAAGCCCTGTATAGTCGTTATAACTCACTTCCCCCAGGCAATTCTAAGCACCAGGGAGTTGGCACCAACCCTAAGGCATGGTTGTTTACGAAGAAGCCCTGCCGCATGGGCCTGATTTTTTCTCAGGCAATTGGAGCACGTGATCCAAAGAAGACTAGGACGTGACATTTACCAGAAACAAGACTGTTCACAACGATATAACTTAGGGCACCTCGGTTGTGAGCGCATTTGATAAGTTGGCCACAACAGCGCCGGCACAGGACGAGATTGTCCAAATGATGTAAGGGCTGCGCGTGGCGCGTGGTGCGACCCACCTTAGCAAAGACCCCAGAACTTGGCAACACAGTTTTTGACTTGTCAAGGTCATGGTCCCCAAGGCAATATGGACATTGTGAGACGCCAAGGGCCACCCAACCGAAAAAACTGGGATTTTTGAAGAATTCTGTTCGAGGACACCTGCTTCACGTGCCTTCTCAGGAAGCGTCGGCGCTCAAAGGCAAAGCGCTCGATCCTGAGTCTCCAGCGGCGCTTCGGGCCCGTGCTGGACCAAGGAACCTGAGGCAACAACGTGCTTTCAATGGCACGCTGAAGCTAACAGGGTTCTGGGTTTTAGGGTTTACTCAAAAGCTCTCTGTAAGTCAACCACAATACTGCGTCTGAGAATGATACTGTTGGTTTCCAGAGAGAACTTAATCCTCCAAACCCACGCAAGCGCGCTACAAGTGCCCAGGTCCCAAGGGCCAGACGTCGAAGCGCCTGCCAGAAACAATGCCACGCGTGGGATGATGAGATACAGGGTTACATAGGGTTGTATAAGGTTATATCGGGGTATATAAGGATATATTGGGTTCTATTGGGGTATATAGGACTGTTTAGGAGGATGCTGGACGCAGACCAGCTTGAGCTGGCAGATTGGGAAAGTCTTGACTGTTTCTCTGGAAGAACAGCATGGTGGATGAGAAGCAACACATGCTCTTTAGCTGAGGTGTGCTTTGCTTCTTGCATCGAGCAAGGAGCTGGGCACTAACAGCTCATCTGGGCAAGGTTCAATCAATCATTGGGGTACATACTTCCAGCACAGAACCCACTATCCGAATCCTAGACCCTAAACCCAGTATCTGGAAGACCGAGATGGGATTCTAATTTTGGAATCTATGCATTTGATGCCGACGGGGCCTGTCGCGGAACAGAGCACCGCAAGCAAAACCTCAGCTACAAAAGGATGAAGTCTCTTTTCTGATGGCTGCGCTTCGGGTTTAGGGTTCAGGGTTAAGGGCTTAGGCTTCAGGGTTTAGGGTTGTTTAGGGCTTTAAGGTGTTGTGGTTTTTACGGCTGCCATGCGCATTGCAATGGCTTGACGTGTCTTGCAAAGAGGCCTTTTTGGCGGGTGGGCGCAGTCACCAGATATGCTTCGAACGCTGAATCCTTATTTAGTAATATGCTTCTACCTAAAATAGGTCATTACGGTACTCCTTGAGGGTTCAGGGTTCTTAGGGTTGTTTAGGGTTGTTTAGGGCTTAGGGTTGATTTTTCTAGAGTACCCCTCACGAGGGAGCGCGCGGAGTGCGCACCAGCGGTGTTTCACGCAAAACAAGCAAACACTGGAGCAGACTGTGAATGCACACTGGACCGGAAAGTCGGCGTTTACTCGACCCCGCCCCCGCGAGCGGCCTTCAAGGCAGAGTGATCGGTAGTTGCTAACGCTCTGGCTGCAAGTTGGTGGCATGTGGGGGCAAAGACTGTAATCTGTGCGACATGCTTTCCAGAGTCGACTCTGTGTGCAATGTAGGGTCCCCTCCAAAGGCCAAGATGTTGACGAAGGGGGCATGCATGTCGACCACCCAAAGCTGTGGCCCACGATAGAAAACCCCTTCGACTCTATAGGGAATATAGGGATATATATCTGTAGTGGAATAGAAAATGGAAACTACTATTTAAGTTTTAGGGTTTAGCATTGAATCATGTGGTAATATTGGATAATGGAAAAGAAAATGGAAACTACTATAATGGGCTATATTGGACTCTGATGCCAGCCCTCTCTGGGTGTCTGACTGCGCCGGCGCTGAGCAGCCCTACCTCAGCGTTCTGGGAGTTGCAAGCCGGGGTCGCACTGCTGGGCATTGGTAGTTGGGCTCTACCCAAAACAACCCTAAACCCTAAATAGTAGTTTCCATTCTGTTTTCCATTATCCCTCTATAACCCCCACAGAACGCCTATATTGAACCCCAATACCTACCACTTTCGGCCTTCAGCCCCCTTGCAGGCCCTCAGGGCCCAGCCTTCCTCTTCAGCATTGTTGCGAGGCCGCCCCAAAATCGGCAAAACTCTTGGCAAACGCTGCGGGACGGAAGCTGCAGGTCCAAGCCTCTTGACATGGAGATTTCTGGCATCTATGGGTGTCCCTTCTGGGGTTGTTATGTTAGCTGGGAATGAAGAATGGAAAAGAAAATGGAAACTACAATAATGGGTTATGAGGGTCCATTCCTTCCTTCCTAGCTAACCAAAGGTAGGTATGGGGTTCTTATGGAGGGGATTCTTTGCCAGGAGTTACATAATTTGGGGCACTCCAGCTTGAAACACTCTCATGTTAGGATGAAGGAGCACCCAGGACACGCAGCTTTTGCCTGGCAACAGGCGGTGCTCAGAAGCATGGCTTTGCCATGCCTCTGCTACCTAAAGAAAGCCATCAGCTTCTGCAGCTTGAGGTAGATGAGGAAGACCTTTAGGGTTTAGGGGTTTAGTGTTTAGGGTTGAGAAACCCTAGACCTGCTAGGTGGAGCGAAGATCAAGGAGGGCAATTTCCAACTGGACCTCAGCGACCAAACATAACATCTGCAGACAAGCAGCAAGAATGATGAAAAGCACGATCGCCAAGCCCCACACCATGGCCTTCCATGTGACTTACACAAGATCCGTGATCACGTGAAAATACTATATATTAGTCTCCATTTTCCTTTCCACTATCTCTATATTACCTCTATACATAAATATGGCTTGGCTTGCACATGCTTAAATATGCTTAAGAAGTTGTCTTGGCAGCTTCTGTCAGCCTTGGTCCATGGCCCGTGATAACGAGAATTGGCTGAAGGAATTTGCAGGGATTGTGCAGGAACGATATAGGGTATATACGAGGAAACTAGAAGGATATGTATATCTATATATGGGGGGCAGAATATAGGGATATGTTATGACAAGATGTCGTTGCTGCCGCCTGATTGCCCTGGATGCGCCGGGACATCAGCGACAAGAACATTTTGGACGTGCTCAGGTGGCCGTCGACGTCGTGCAGATGGCCCTGGGCAAGAAGTCCCCACCAAGTCCCTGGAAATCTCATAAAGCCTCTCTGGAGCCTACGCAATCCTTATATGGGCGTTTCCCTAAATTGGAAAACCACAACATAAACCCCAAAAACCACAATATAGACCCCAAAAAATTATAGTCCTTATTAGGGGGCCTCCAAACAAGGTACCCCTATTCAGGGAAACCCTAAACCCTTATCCCTTAACCCTATATCTCCCTAAACAATCCTATACATCCCCTATAACCCCGTTTAAGGCACGCCTAATTTTGGGCAACCCCCCATATATTCCTGGAGTTATCTGCCTTAGTCCGCTTCAAGGCATCTCTTTGGTCCGTAAGCTCCGACATGACGTCCATGCCGATGCTTTCAGCCTTCAATAGGGGGCTATATATGAGATTATCTAGGGGAGCATTATAGGGGCTATGAAATTACATAGGGGAGTATTATAAGGGCTATTTAAGGGGGATGCTAGGAGTTTAGGCTATGGGTTTGGCCCTAGGCCTAGGCTAAGGCTTTAGGCTGTAGGGCGGATGCACCTGAGGAATTCATACTTATCTCGAGGTGCCTGCTTGGACTTCAGGTTCAGAGTACAGCTCGCTCCCCCCGACACAATATCCCTGAAGCCAACTGTGGCCGTGTACCATAATATGTATCATAATATACTATAATAATATACTACGGTGTACTATAACCCCGAAAATAAGTACAAATAACAAACCAACACAATCATACCGCTTCAGCTGGTAGAGGGGGCCTCCATGGCGGTGCGGCGAGAGTCCTTGCAGGAGCAAAGCACAATTGCAAAGGGGACTGGGCGAAGAATGTCTGGGGCATAAACTTGGATGACAGGAACCATTGCGCAGTGGTGTTACAGTTATGGAAATGCTTTGGACTCGTGGCCAAGCTTGAGTAATTGGGCTTGAAGTGTTGCATCATACGAAAACTCACCTAACCCTCCGCCCCTCGCCACCTGCGCCACGATATAGTCGCTGCATGTTGACCCTGCCCTACCGCATCTACTATTATCACTTGTACTTTTCTTTATTAGGATGAATCGAATTACTCTCAGTATTACTCATACCGCTTTTTTTGCCCGTTAGTACTTCTTATACAATTGTTGCTATTGATAATACAGATGCCATTGTACAATTGTAGGATACTGTAAGTAGATGGGAATGAGGGAATGTAATACCTATATAATCCCTGTATAATCGCCATAGAACCTCTAAACCCTAAATGGTAGTTTCCGTTTTCTTTTTCCATCATCCCTATATAACCCTACACATAACCCCATACAACCCTTGTATAATCCCTTTATAACCATTATATCCCCTCCCCGGGTCCTCCAGCCGCCTCGCACCTGCCCGAAGCCTCTGGGCCGAGTCTCGCTGCGCCTGGAGGCATCAGCTGAGCTTCAAATGAGCCTGTGGATTGGGTTTTGGGGTTTTAGGTTTAGGGCCTAGGGTTTGGGTTTAATTACGCAAGGTTTATGGTTTGGGGTTGGGGTCTAGGCTTTAAGATTGGGGTTTGGGCTTTAGTTTAGTGGCTCAGCAATACTATACCCAAGAGCAAAAGGTAATCTTACGCACCCTTCTAAAGGACTACATTAGACGAAGCCCGACTCACATGATGTTTGAAGCTGACGTAGTTTGGGCAAGAATGACAAACAGGAGCCTCAGATCTGCTAAGAGGACACCCACTCTTGTAGTCCTCATAAAAAATTTCGTTATCCGACAATCCGTTTTGCAAAACAACCATCATCATTGCACTTCTCGACGTGAATCACATCACGGCAACTGCTGGCCAAGATTTCCTAAACCCCAAACCCTCCTGAACCCAAACAGCAGCTGCAGTGATAATGCTGCTTCATAACAACAGAAAAGTAACGACGCTAGTAATAAGAACAATAACGATCAAGATGGCAATCAACCGTGCCTTTTCATCAGGGTTGGCGGAGCCACGAAGCAAGCCTCGCTGAGGCTTTACGTTTCAGGATGCATCGAAGAATGTAGAGTGTCTTGCTGAGCTCACGAACACTGAGGGGATAGATTCTGGAGGCTTTGACTGCCAGACCAAAACTGAAACACTGGCCTTGTGAGATCAAGCTTGGGGTGATCAACATCAGCTACAAGGTATAATACTTAACTTGCGTGGAATGTCGCAGGCAAGCTTCAGCCGGGAAGGTGGGACTGGGGTGGGCAAACTTCAGCAAATCTCAGCTAGCTGATGACTCAGGTAACTTGTCAAATTGCAATGGTGCTGTTTCGGCATGTTCTGGCCATCCGTAGCAACCTCCCAAGAGGCTGTCCCAGCTTCCCGGCCAAGGGCTGTACAAAATACTGAAGACTTGAAATCCTAGCTCACTCAGTGTCGGCGTAACTGGATGTCTGCACCTTGAAATCTGAGAAATTCTGAGAACATCTCGATGCCTCGCTCCCTGCAAACTTTCTGCAAATTCAGGTGGGCACCCTCGCTGAGCAGGTTCCCGTAAATCCGAAGCTCCTTCAGCTCACGGCTTGGCAGCGCCGCTGCGAGCGTTTCTGCGCCTGCATCCTCGATGGAGGTCTCAGTCAGGATCAGCAGCTGGAAGTGTTTGTTGCCCCACAGGGCTTTGGCCACAACGCGGGCATCGTCGGACGTCAGGAGATTCTGCGAGAGGTCTACCCGTTGCCCCCAGGGCTCAGCATTGGCGAAGGAGGCCAAGCCGGCCTTGAGCACATTTGGCTGGCCACCCAGCCTGTTGCGTGACCAATCGAATTCGCCCGTCATTGAGGAAATTAAGCACTCTCTGCGTGGCCGGCAGACGTCTTCATCCACGTCGTGGGCAGTCACGATTCTCATGTCGGCAATGAACTTGAGACGTGCCTCCATGACGGGTGTCAAATATGCATTGTGATGTACCATGCGAGTCATCCAACCTAATTCATCTGCTGACATGTACACGGTCTCCCAGTTCAGGCGAGCAGCTGCTGGTTGGTGGCCGTCCTCCATAGGTCACAAAACGCCTGCCGTATCATCTGCCCAACCCACTCTGGATGCACGGATAGAGGCAGATAGACGCAAGCACCCGAGTGCACGGAATAGCGACATTCAGGAAGGCCAAATCTGGTCAGCGTGGCTGAGCCCACGGGAAGACTGGGGCCTTGATGTAGCGTCAATGCTGCGGATAGCAAACAGGGAGAGGTGGCTCGCAGTGAACTCTGTCAAGACATACGGATTCGGCACCAGCATGCAATATACGTGAAACGCAAGCAAGTAAGCCCAGCTTTCACTTCCCATGGCTTGGATCCCTGCATTGGCCGACTGCCAGCAAAAACCTCCAAATAACACATCTTCCAAGTCTTTCAAGGTGTCAAACGAATCAGCCACGAAGGGGCAAACGCCGCTCAGCATGGTCTCAGCAAAGGCCGTCCTGGGGTAGCCCCGGCCTGGGGCTAAGGTCATGGCTAGCACAGCTGCCTGCGCAAGCAGCCACATACACCCTGCAATTCGCAAAAGAGCATGAGACTCCCAAAGGAGTCCCGACTCCTTGTTCAAGCTTCCAGTCGCTATGCCATGTAGGGTCGCTGCTAGACATAGACGACCGTAGGTGCCCAAAAAGACGACGTGGGTCTGTATCCGGGGCGGCAGTGCGAGACTGCTCGTGGTTCTTGCCATTCTGTGAGGCCCTGTCTCTCTTGCACGGTTACTTACACTTCGTGGACGGCGGGGAAGGCTGCGGCCGCTGTGCTCATGGACGAGAAGACCCAAAAGTCCGAGGACAAGGAACGAAGATCACCCAGAAGCGCATGTTGCAAGCGCTCTTGGCTGAGCAGATCCTGCATATGAGCAATTTGCCCTAAGCGTGCGCTCAAAATGCCGTTCGCCTCCCAACCGGCAGGCAAATGGCTTTTTGAGTGAACGCTTGGGCCACTTGCTAACATGAAGGACCTGCTCAGCCAGTTTGGATGCCTCGTGGCTGGACCTTGTTGCTAACTCCAGAATCATCGCTCCCAGGGCACAGGTCGCAGCTGTGACGCCCAACATCACCAACACAAAATAAAGTCCCCCTGTGTTTTAGGCTCACAGCCTGCAGCACCTCGTGCACGTCATCGGTCGCATTGCTCGTGTTCATGCGGATCGGGCGGTCTGTTTGGCATAAAACTGCCCTTCGAGCCTGCGAGCCTGCAGCGAAACACACCCGCACTGCCTGAATTTGACTAGACTGTGCACCTGTCTCTGGCAGCGGTCTACAGCAGAAGCATACAGGTTCTCGAGCGCTATAAGGCCCGGCAAGAGGTAAGGTATTCTTGAAAATGTGCGCCAGAAGCACCTGGAAAGTTCTCAAAGAACTGTGAATTACTCTAAAAGCCTCAGAATAATAAGACTTGTAACTAGTAGGCACTGTAGTGTTGTTTCTGGAAGCCCAAATCTAGTTGCGAATTGTGTTGCTTTCTGGGACGTTCACAGGCTGAGCTACACAAACAACGGCGGGCCCACTGCGGAAACCATCTGTACTCCCAACAGATTCCCACCTTTGAGAAAAAAATGAGTGGCACCTCTGCCTAACACACTACCCTTGCACAGCTGCCTTCTCGGTTCAGTCTCGCCTGCACATTGCGAACCAAGGTCCTGGCGCGGGATGTGTGCTTGCGATGCACAGTACTTTGGCGCTGAAGTTTATGGGGCTCCAACCGATACATCGCAACAAGGTGGATTGGCTTTTAGTAAAGGCCGCGCAAGAAGGTCTGCTTCTCGTCACTAGTGACCTTCAAACTAGGTTTCCAAGAGTGAGGAATATGAAATTGAAAACGACGCTTGGAGTTCAAGAGGACGGCACGCTCCACGTTTGCCCCCAGCGAGTCATGGTCGATTTGATCTTTGGCTCAGGTGAACACGAGCGACATCAACCATGTAATCGAAACTGCCTCGGCTGCTCTTTCTTGACGGTATCTTTGATAAGTCTTCTTACCGAAGAACCGTCCAAAAACGTACACAAGCTCTCCAAGTAAAGCTCTGCAAAGTCACCTTCGGCATATCGTGTTTCCAGGGAGCGTTGAATCCATCGAAGGGATGTCTCGGCGTGTCCTTTGGGATGGCTTCGAAACTAACAGGTGATGTTGAACCCCCCGGTACCAGATATTTGCAACAAAACAGGTGCCCTATTTTGCGAGATTCCCCAAATGAGGTGCCAACATCAAACAGTGAGATCTGGAGTAACTGCTTGAAATAATAGGATAAAAAATCATGTTAACTCTTTGATGATGCAGCAACTGAGTTTTGGAGCCTACCCGAAACAAGCCAAGGGGCCTTGCGCCTCTTCAAAGAGACCCAGATAGAGCGCAGCATAGAAGGAGTCCTGGGCCATAGTTTAGGACTTTAGGAAGAGGGTTTAGGGTTGAGGAGGAGGACAATAACTTCAAGTGGTCAAAACTTTGAATCTCAACATGATCTTCTGATCCCCAGTCTCGCTCAAGTTTTCATGAACAATTACCTCCATATCGACCGTCCTTCTTTGGCATTATGGAGAAAACAGGAGCCCCTGTTTCAAACAAACTTGGAAAGATTTGCCAGAAATTGCACTAGAGTCTTTGTCCCCAGGCAGAACAGAGGCAACGGCCTCAAGCTCGCGCTGCGCACTCTGCCCAGACCCTGCGGATAGTTTCGGCGTGGTAACCCACACCCCTAAGATCCCCTAAGAAGAATCCCCGCTCCACCTCCCCGACAAAAAGTCTGTTATTAGTGCAATACCTATCATTATGGGAGCAGGTCGGTTTGTAATTGGGGCACGGCCCGACCCCCACCCCCCCACCCCACAAAAAACTAAACAGTCCCAAAAGGCTTGCACCCAGCAGTCCTGCGAAGAGCTCAGATACGAGCCGCATGATGGCCCGGGGGTCCTTTCCAACCTGCATCCTTAGTTCTTTTGGACTCCTCAGGGCTCTGAAACATGCTTTTTAAGGGAGCCACACATAATGTGGCCGGTAATATTGGGGGGGGGGACACCCAAAAACGGACCATGATTTTCACAACCTACCATATCCCAGGCCAAGCATTGTGAGGCTAAACGAATATGAGTGAGGTAGGAGGGACCCCAACAATAACCAAAGAGCCTTGAACTGGGCGGCTCCCGACGATAACCGCATCGCTCTACAGACTCTGCTGATGAATATTTGGGGATGCGTTTTTTGGATTTTCCGGAATGCTTTGGGCACAAGGTGGTTAACCGTGGAGTCCCCAGAGACATACTCAAAACCCCGCATAAGAAGCCTGACGAGGTTTTGCTATGTAATCACAGTATATGGAGGACCATAGATGACCATAGGCCTGATCATTGCGGCTTCCATATCATGCCCTTACTTGGCCCACACTACTCCAAGAAGAAAAAAGGGGACAAAATAGAGGATCCCTAACATTGATCCAGCTTAAGAGGCATTACAAACATACCCCTCAACTCTACATCAAGAGGGTGCCCCAAAGGGCCGAGGGTCATCTGCTGCTGCGCAGCCACAAAGCCCAGCTGCTGGGCCTCACATAGCATGGCCCAGATGGCCTCCTCCGAGTTTTTGTTCAGAAAAGGGGCTTGAGGGTCTAGAATTTGGGTTTGGGGGTTTGAGGTTATAGGAGGTAGGAGCTCAGTTGCGCGGGGCTTCAGGGTTTGGGAATACGAGTTTTGGGTGTATCTTTGTACCTTTCCAAGGCTTCTGGGGATATAGCCAACTCTTAAGATTCTTCAGGGATTGGGGGTCCACATTTAGGTGGCACAAGCGATGCTTTGGAGAAACTCCTTCCTCTGTGTCGCTGGAGTTAATATCCACATCCCTGCGGAACTGCGAGGCTCCATCTTTAAAGCGGCCGGCATAATACAGGGAAATGCCCCTTTGCCACAGCAAGGCGGACGGATATCCCACTGCAGACGCGGCTTCGAAAAACTGCGTTGACAGCTCTACCAGGCCCCGTTGGAAGGCAGTGCTCCCAGCCCAGACGAAGCCCAGCGACAAGGTGCTGATGGCCAGTAGACCACGCAGGCCCAGGTCAAGCAGCTCAGCCAGAAACTGGCGTCGGCCTGCCAGCCTTGCTGTGGGGCTGCGGAGCATTCCCTTTGGAGTATGCCCAGCATGTGCTCTCAGTGACCGGGGCAAGGACCTTCCAAATGAAGGCCAGCTGCTCTGAAGCTTCACGGACACGGGTGTAGGAGATGGCCTGACAGGTTATATTGTCATAATGGAAGATAAAATGGAAACTACTATAGCCGAATCTAAAACAGTGTAATATAGTAGAATATAGTATGTTATAGTATACTATAGAGTATAATATAACTTTCTTGTAACTCTATGCTAGTGTCAAAAAAGAGTGGCTGACTCAAGTAAGGGTCCCCCGCCTTGCCTCAATGCAACCGTGGGGCCGCTTCGTGGGTACGAAAGTGCCATGCTGTCTGCGCTGCGGAATGCGGCAACGCCAACAAAAAGAAATTTAGGGTAAGCTACCCATTGGGGTAATATTAGGGTTATATTGGGGGGTCATATATATTTTTGTTTAAAGAACTGTTGTTTGCTTTGGGTTATTCCCCCTTACAGTAACTGTTACCACAAGGGGTAATGGGAATTATAATAGCCCCTTTGGACAACTCCTGTCTGCGGAAAGGAACCGGGCGCAGCCCTAGAGCAAAGTCAGCTGCGGGCTACCAGAACATGAGCAGCATCGGTTAGCCGTTTCATGTTGCAGGGTGTCGCTATACCTCATGATGGGGAGACCCTTTGTTATCTCAAAATCCTTCTGGCATTCGGGACCCGTGACTATGAATTTTTGCCAGCTTGTCCTGCTCAGGTGGGGCCTCTGCCTAACTTGATGCAGAGGCAGACAGCAAAGAGTGAGTGGCAGTAGGCGTTCAGTCAGATAGAGCTCCTGCACTCAAGCTTAAGTTTGAAAACGTTTTGAGGAAACTGAAGCCCGGAGCCAAGCAGAAGAAGCCCCAAACAAGCCCAAAGCAGAATGATGCGCAGAAACACTGTGGGGGAGGGGAAGACGACTGTACAGCCCAAGCTGTAGCACAGACTCAACCCCCGGCAGAACCCTAGAAAATGGCTTTACAGGGGCAAACATGCTCACAGAAGGCAGGTCCTGCTCGCCAAAAGCTCCTGCTTGTACTCCTTCCTGAGCGGAGAAGGCTTTAGAGTTCACCCGTCTACTTGGGGTTCAGGTTCCAGGGTAGGTAGACATGGGTGTGGCTGGAACTGAAACTCTTACAATCCTGTAGACGGCAGAAGTCGAGGAGGGCCGTTCTTCGAGGGCTGTATCAAGGAGAGTTTCTGTGAGGCCTTGTCGAAAGTAGCGCGCCTTGTGAGGTAGCCTCCATGCTAGCTTTTAGATGCCATTTTCTTTCAGGGTGCGTCCAGGCACCACAACATGCCACAGTCTCGAGAAAAGTACTGCAGTTGATTGATCTTGGCTTCTACAAGCCTAGCATCCCCAAAAGGGTCTGGCAAGCTGCAATTTTCCTGTTCAGTCGTGAACCATACAGCTTGGGTTCATGCACGTTCCCCGCGTATAGCCAGTACATTACGGCCTAGGAAGCCAAATTAGCCCCAACACATGAACCTAAACCCCAAACCCTAAACCCTACATAACCCCATTATACTAGTTTCCATTTTCTTTTCCATTATCCCTATATAACCCAGTATGCCCCAGGATGAAAGACAAGTCTTCAGAAGACTGGAGCGTAGCACTCCCAGTAGCAGCTTCCACTTTAGTCTCCACTATTCCTACACTACCTCTATGACACCCCTAATATTACCCATACTGCCCCCCAAAACCCTAACCCCAAACCCTAATATTCTTATATGACCCTATATAAACCATTATAAACCCCATCCACTCAGCCAAAAAACCGGACCCTTTCACACACATCCGAGGTCTGAAAAAGCAAGGCCCGAACAGCTTCCCGGCCAGGGTCGCCTTGGGTCTGCGATTTCAGCTTCTTTTTGTTGCTGTGCTGTGGGTTGAATGCTACAGAGCTGTCCGTCTTCCACTCTGATGCACAAGGCTTTTGGGAAATTCTGATGCAGGAAGATGTGTTGTCCTTGTTCCCCTACTGGTTCATCCTTGAGTCAAGTCCGATACTCAAGCTGGGCTTGGAGGCGCGCTCGGTTTCGGGATGTTCCTAGCAGCTTGACCGCGTAGGGCTCAGCTCAGGATTGCCGACCCTTTTTTGAATGTCACGCCTGGCGGGAGGGGCTGAGGCCTGGGCTGAAGAGAGCAACATTTGCGAGAGACCCTGGGAGTTATATAGGGTTTTAACGGGAATATATGGGTCACATAGGGAATATAGTTCATTTGGGTTATATGAGAATAATGGAAAAGAACATGGAAGCTACCATTTAGGGTTCAGCATCACCCCTCGGAATTCTCATTGAACAATTTAGGAACTTCCTAAGCGAGTCATGACAGAGCCCCACAACCAAATCCAAGCACCTTACATCCCAAAGGTTCAGACCCTGAACTCGCAACACTAAAACCTGAACCCCAAACCCCATACAACCTGAAACGACACACAATTAAATCCGTCTATTACCCATGTAACCCCTACATAAGCCCCAGATAAAGGCCCTCAACCTTCTGAGGACCGGGCACCTAGCGAACCCATGGATTTCACCTCGAACTCCATCTGCTGGAAAGCCTGGCAGCGCTTGGGTTCATATGAGCTATCGCTTAACCCCTTATTTCCCCCTTAATAACCCCTATTATGCTCAGTTTAGGCTGTAGCTCATATAGTTGTGTAGGGATTGTATAGGGACCATGGAAAAGACAATGGAAGCCACTATAGGGATTATATGGGGACAATATGAGCCTGGCAGTGTTTGGGGTTCATTGTATGGCCCCATACAGAGATAATGGAACGAAAATGGAAACTACTATCTGCGATTTAGGGTTTAGGACTTAAGGATGTTATCCGAGCACTGGAGAATCAAATGGAAAAGAGATGGAAACTGGCTTTATGTGGGGTTGATAAGGACCCAATGTTAAGTCCATCGGCATGATCAAGGGACGGAGGCTAACAGGGACAACTGGGGTCATGATATGGCCTCCAGGGGCTGCAATCATACTCACGAAGTCCCCTTGACCGCCCAAGTAGGGTTTGGGGGTTGAGTTTGGTGTTTAGTCTTTGGCTTAGAGTTAGGACTTCAGGTTTGGGCATTACGGGCTTAGGGAGTGGGATCTAGGATCTGTGGTTCAGAGATCCGGGTTTGACGTTGAAACAAGCGGAGTTTCTCTAACATTTGAGGTCTCGTCTAGTCAGGGTCCCAAGACTTTGCCGGAAGAGACCCTAAACTTGACGAGCAAGAAAAGCCAATGTACTTTTCACGTTTCCGTAGCAGCGACAGCCAGGTCTAGGGTTGTCACAGGGGTGGCATGATAGGAAATCAGAGTCACGCTGCTGACAGTACGGTGATGAACAGCACAACATAATGCAACGGAACACTGTTTCTTCCTTCTTCCGCAAAGGCAAGCATCAGCCACTCTCACATGCTCAGAGCACAATATATTGCTGAAGCATTCCTGCAGTCTGGAATCGCGGCTGTACCATGATGGTAACAGAAGCTTGAGGAGTTAGTTACTTACTATGAAAAGTGTTCGAAATTCGTCCTATGCCACCAGGGTATGTCAGAACCTCATGGAGAATTTTCACATGCCCTAAATCGATTCAGAATGACATGCCATAATCTCTGCTGAGACCTCTCCGTTTCCATTATCACTTCTGTGGCCGGGTTGCTGTGACACAACCCTTTCCAAGTCAGGTCAGAGCGATTTCGGAATAACGCTACTACAAAGCAGTGGGTGCTAGTTACATATGCTTAAGGCTTACGGTAAAGTGAGAGGTGGAAATCGCGGTTGCTGATGATGGTGATGGTGATGGTGGTGATGATGATGGTGATTGTAGTGATGAAGATGGCCATGGGCATTAAGACAGGTGATGATGCGGTGGTGCAGGTAGGTGTGATCACCGTGTTCCTAGCAACAAGTATTTGAAAGATCCAAAAGCTGGAGCCCGGAACAAAAAAAAATAGATATGGTCATGTGCACACACTAAAGGTGCAATGACTTACTTTATCGACTCCATCTGTTCAGCTCTTCACTGCGTTTGCGGCATGCTGAATGAATCACAGAGACACGACTTCTGCAATCTTCATAGAGCTGGCAGGCCAATCTTTTACTATGAGGGGACATGTATCCTTGGGGCTGGGAAGTTATTCCTGGGGGGCAGGGGATTACCTCAAGCATGGTCTCTGTGCGGGTTTGGTGCCTGCGTTGCGCGCTCGTGGGCGTCAACCATATCTTGCCTCAGAGGCGACGACGCAAACTTGCTGAAGACCGTAGGGATCCTTTTGGGAGGCCTTACGCACCCTTTCAACAGTTCCTTGGAAATTCGTCAACGTTTATGGGTCCCATCGAATTTTCCGGCGATTGCTGACTCTCCACCATGAATTCAATATTGGGCAAGCAAGTATAGTGGAGAACCCAGTATGCGCCATGCGGGGAACGTCACGTCTCTGGCAGGTGACAGCAAGTCAACCAAAGCAAGTCCCCCAATCAGACTGCAACTGATACGTGCAGGCAGCTAGGATGCACACCTTGCAACACGTTACGAATAAGTTTCGATACTGGCGGCCTGCCATGCTTCAGGGCACTTTTGTTGTTTGGAGCATCTCCAGGATGCAAGCGTCAAAGAACTGCCCCTTCCCCCCTCCTCAGCCCTGAGCACTACCATACAGACAACATTGAACGGGAATTCGGACTAACGTGCCCCCAGAGAAAGTGCAGTCTTTATCACTGCATAAAGCAAGAGTCGCTAGAGCACAGCCAGGATCATAGTTAAATTTCAGGGCGTGGGGCTCTCTGGGCACTCTTACTCCTTCGAGCATCACTGTGCTTGATATTTCAACTAGAATCAGACTTTATGGGATTTATGTGGATATGAATCTCACTTGGACAGAGAGGAGTTTGAACAATGACTTAATCTGATCGCCCTTTAAGAAAGGATCAGGAAGCCCTGAATCTCAGCTCAAAAGGTGGGTACCCCGATTTCGACATGTACACCATCGAGGCCCCTATTAACCTATTACGCCTAAGTGGTAGGCTCCTTCTACACCAGGAGGGTCCATGTCTGGGACACATACCTTAAGGCGCGGTTGAAGTTTGAGAACTCCTCAAAATTTTGGCCCGCGTTGAATGTTAATTTCCTAGGAAGTTGAGAAATCCCCAACTGCCCCGGAACAACTGGAAAATCTTTATCTCAAGCGGCGAAACAATCAGAATGAAGCAAATGCGAATAACATCCCACCCTCAACACCTGGTTGACAACCCCCTCGTTTAAGGTTTCGGGCTTTTGAATTACAATGCAGGTCTAAGCCCTTTACCCCGCTGTAAGGCGCTCTGGCGGCGGGGCGGTGCCTTCATGGTGGAAGATCTCAGAAAACCACCACGCTATCATTGCTGCTTTAGGGCTTTAGGGTTTAGATTCTAGGGCTTAGGGTTGTAGGCGGCTTAAGGTCTAGGACTTGGGGTTTGGGGTGTAGGTTCTCTTTGGGCTGGGGAGGTTTAGGTTTAGGGTTTGAGGGTCTGGGGTTTAGGGTTTCTAGCTCAGGGAGCCTCGCATACACACTACACGGGTCATACAGGGATTGAAGAGGTCCTCTGGGGGAAGAATCTGTGGGAGTCGACGATCAGGATTATGCATACTGGGTCTATGTCCAGGGCCCCGTGTTTATCAACCCCCCCGTCTATTCTTGATACTTAGGGCATGTAGGGTTTCGGAGTTATCCACTTGGGGCTTCCCAAGTAGGCGGCCATAACATAAGGGATTTTGCGAGGATGATAACGGGATTATACGGGCCGCCACTGGTAATCATTGGAAAATGTTTTGAGAAACTGCAATGAACAGTCTCTAAGATTTCCATAAATCCTCAGGGCCCCTAGCACGCGTTGAGGACATCCAAGGGGACTCCATGGGGCAGTGCTATCTGAAGTCTGCCGTGGGCTCTGGAGTTCACAGATCCTCGTAAAAACTCAGGGTTTAGGATCTCGGGCTGGAGGTCCAAGAATCAGGTTAGCAAAGCTTGGAGTCTCAGTCTTAAGTAGGGGTTCCTTGCACAAGACAACTTGGTCAGAACTTTCTGGGCCTTGCCCAGGTTCCTAAACTTGCCCTTGAGCCCGGGGACCACTCCCTGCACCTCAAATGCTGAACAGTCCCGCAACCCAGAGTTCAAAAACACCCTGTTTTGTAACGAGGCTGCACTAGCTTCAGGCCCTTTGGTGCCAAAGCAATCAGAATGAAATTGGGTTTTGGTTATCCCAGCTCCCTTGTTAGGGCTTTTGGGGTCCCTTCTGCTAGAACTCTGTAGGGCTATCTTACTACATTATACAAACGGATCATACACAAACATATTGAGGCTTCTACAGTATGATCCTGCCGCCTACATGAACGCCCAAAACGTACCATCTGTTGTTGCACGGCTCTGCTGGGCGGCCTCACAACAGTCCCGAACAATCTCAGGGACCCTTACCTTCCCCGTGCAAGCTCTGCTTCTCACCAAAGTACTTTCAATTCGGAGAAATGGGCTGACCTTCGTCTGTCTGCCCCCCTCCCTAAACTTACTAGCCAAATCCAAACAGTCTGAATCGAACATCGCAAAAATTCTTAAACCGAAAAGCTCGCACCGTAAACCTTCAATTGACGCTCCCATTCTCACGCAGCCCGAAGGTCCCCTCCGTCCTTCGACCACCATCGCCAGGGAGCGGAGCTGCTGAATCCTTGAGAACAGGGCCCCGGTGGCTATAGTCCCCCTTAAGCAGATAGAATATGGGGTATCTGCGATCTTATTATAAAATTGGGCATTTCCATATTCTGCCTACTCAAGGGGGACGATAGGTATATCAATGAAGACTCCAGGATGTGAGGCAAAACCACTTAGAATTCTAATTGGCCACTGCAGGGGTACAGATAGCCAGAGAGATTCTCAATGAAGGCTCTGTCCCAAACACCTTGTTGGTAAAGCGTGTTAGCTACGGTTTCTGGCGACGGTTGCAGTGTGTGAGGACGATCTGTGTGAAAGAGTCGTCTGTAGGCACGGGAAAATCCACTCTAGACTTGAGCAGGAGCGGATGGAGCTCGTGCCGATAACCTCGCCGCTTGTTTGTATACAGTCTACAACTTCTACGACTCAGGTCTATGAGGTTTCAACAACACTGTCAAGGTTGAGTATATCACACCATTCATGCAGGTTGTCGAGGGCATGAAGAGATCGCGTCAACTTCCATTGGTGGTCTGCGAGTCTGCCAAGTTCCCTCCTGAGCCGCCAGCAACTGTTTGTAGTCTTCCTGCCGCAGGAAGGGACCAGTGGCTGGCGCACAAGGACACCCCAAGGCCACTAAACAAAACCCCCCTGGCAACATCGCCAAACTCTGCTCAACCAGCTTGTGCAGAAACATCGACGAAAAACTTGGAAGCACCTCGTAGGACTGGAAGACCTGCCAAAAAGCAGCATGGAAGCAGGAGTTTTTCAGATTCATGTCGCATTTGCTGGAGCTTGTGGGTTCGCACGAGATAGTTTCTCATAGCGCGCCTCCGAGATTGTGACCACCGGCTGGGAGCCTCCGCGAACAGGCATTAATAACGGATCTAGTACTGCTTTGGACTTCATGGCTTCATGCCATTTACGCTGGCATTCTCTATTACTGATGCGCACTTTCGGCTGAACTTCTACTCGGGCCGAAAAGCGCTCAGGATCCCTCCAACCACAAAAGCATGATTGATGAAAGGGTCTATCTCAAAAACCATAAATATGTCGTCATACAGCGGGAAATTCCCAAACTACAGTGACAGTGCCAGCCAGTAATGACATCAAGCAAGGTTGCCTCGCATGTCTGCAACCGGCGAGAAAAGGGCAGAAGGTCATGCCATTCCGCCAGCGCATCGAGTCAAATGCATTCCAGCCAGGGGTTTGGTTTTGGGCTTCGGGCTTCAGGGTTGGGATTTGGGGGTCATGGTGCTCCTATGATGACAAGGACAGGGTTTTTATTAAGGAGAGCGTACCACTATACACTGCTGCCATCATTGAGTTTACCACTCCCCTGAGAGTCATGTCTACCGCATCCTGCCGCCCACAGGATGTCAGCTTGGGCTCTGCCAGAAGCCAGTCCAGTAGCACAGCTCTGTTCTGGCCAAGAAGCTGCGGCACAGAAAGTTGACATGTGCACTGCGAACCTGCTCTGAGTCCTTCGAACTTACCATGCGAACGGGCCCAAAGGGTGTCAAACATTGAGGAATAGTCTGAGCTCATGCAATGCTTACGTCTGATGTCTGAGTTGATTCATCTTGGGGTTGCCGAAGGCCCCATCGGCAGCCGTAGCGAACGACAAGTACTCTTAACAAGTTTTGAACAGGGGAGAATGGTTTTTCTCAAAACTAGGAAACGTCACCGAACGTTCCCAAAAAACCTGTGGGAGAGAAACTGAGAGAGCTCGCTTGCTTCCTGATTCTCAGGGATTATTTATGAGACTATTACTATTAGAGACTTGTTCTTACTGGTGGCTAGCAGGAAATAAGGGAACAGAATCTCTATCTATCCCAATATAATATGTTCCCTTATCCCTGCTAACCACCGGTCCGTAGTGCAAACCTGTAAGCTTCCTTTCTTACGCAGCCGCTGCTGACCCAGAGCCTGCAGTGCGCAGGGGGTCTGGCGGAGATCTGGGAGCCTGCCTTCACTTGCTCTTACTGGTGGTTAGTAGGGAATAAGGGAATATAATATATAGGGTTGAGGGTGTAGGCTGCTGGTGGTTAGTAGGGAATAGGGAATATATTGCATGGGGTTGAGGGTGTAGGGATTAGGGTTACTAGGTAACAAGGGAATATATGATATAGGGATGATATGAGGATAGTCTTCCCTCATTCCTTCAGTAAGGCTACTACCATAGTTCCGAGAGCTTAGGTATCCCAAGTCTACTCTGCGACATTGACTCCTGGGGCTTTGGTATCCTAGGTCTACTAGTTAAATTGCCCTTATGTTTAAGGCGTGAGTCCGTGGCTTAGGTATCCAAAGCCTGCTCCGCTACCAGGATTCTAGGGTGCAAGTATGCAAAATTGATACTACAAAAGTTCCAATTTCAATCGAACCCCTTAAGTGGCGCACCCTCACGACTAGTCGGATCGTTACTGGTACTTCGGCTCCCACCGCTTACTATGTTCATAGTTATTACGCGAAGTCTCACAGCAGCTGTCCAGCTATACACCCAGAGGATCAGCCTTCAAAATACCAGCCCCAATGCAACATCACAACTTTCAGACACTCAAATGCGCATGATGCTTGGGAAAAATGTTGCGGTCAGGCTCTTATCCAGGACGCGCCCCGCACGCACAAACACCAATACGATACGTAGGCGCACTACAGCAGGAGTTTAGAGCCAAGAGAGCAAGGGAGAGAGAGAGAGAGACAGGGGTAGACTCTCTGCAATCGGGTAGCAATGGTTGCAAGGATTGCCACTGAAGAGGGGACGAGGGGAGCAGGAGAGGGAGACGGCGAGAGAAGAGAAAGAGGGAACGACGAGGAGGGCAACCACGCTGAAGGAAGCGTGATGAAGGCTCGCTTCCTCCTTTGAGCAAGCTATTGAAAATTCAGCAGAACTCTCGCGGAAGGAATCATTCTTCAAAAGTCGGACTACATAGTCTACTCACCTGCACCCTCCTGCAATTCCACTCCTGAGAAGTTCCCATTGCGAACGTCCCGGAAACAGGAGACCCTAGTAAGAATCAAGCTATAGGCCACTATAGGGACACCACGTGGCCATCTAGGAGTAAACCTTAAACCCTGGACGCAAAAGCCGGGCTGAAATGGCACACTTCCTCGGGGGCTATGCCCATAGGTCCGCTTGGCGGAGCTTCTGGGCGGTCCCCCCCAGTGTAGAGGGGCTGCTTGGAGGTTCCTGGGTAGCAAAAACAGCTACAGCTACGAGTAAGGACAGGGTTTAGTGTGTGTTTTGTTTAGCTCAGCCACGGAAGCATAGCTACCCATGAACCCACAGTGGAGTCTGACCTGCGGCCTCTTCTTGAAGGTCATTCAGGACACAACATAGAGGTTCTATCAGCTGTTATAGAGTTCATGGGGTTTGGTACAAGGATCGGGTTTCTGAGGAAGATCCAGCGGAGCTTCGTCATTCTCAATGGCCTTTGCCTTCAGAGATCAGCATCGCATGCTCGGTTGAGTCTCTGATCGAGGGGAGCAAGCCTGGGAGGGTTGCTGGGATTTGGGGGGGGGGGCAGGGGGGAGGTTCCCAAAAGTAGGGGCACCTTCAAGGGATTCATGGGGGATATATAGGATTATATGTGTACATATCGCTTTTTTTTTGGCGGGGGGGGGGAGGGTTTAAGGTTTCTCCATATTGGATCCCTGTTTGGTACCTGGGTTCCGCAACCTCTGTACTCTGCACAGTCAATCTGATGAACACGTATTCGCCTATGACAAACATCAAACGTACTTCCAACCCCGGGCCTTCCATCATTATCGTCAAAGACCTTATTCCTTACCTCATGCCAAAACCCTGGACATTGTAGAGCCCCTGAATTGTCCCCTCAAGTCTGCGCATTTCCTCAAACATCGCTTCCCCCTATAATGAACCTCTACCGGGCTCTACCCCGCCCACAACTAATAAATATTCACGTTCTAGTGGTACCTCATCAGGGTGTTGCAACATGGGATACCTCTACAAACCCCAATGGCATGTAGATATATATATAGATACCGATATATACAGCTAGGAACATGCTGCGCAACTCCAAAACTGGGCAGACAATTTGCGGCAAAGCAAAGGGGCTGCCTCAAATCTGGCTGCTCTTGTCAGGAAACAGAAGCCCACGGAAGCCTGAAGCAGCCACCGGGCTAAGGGGTGGGGGTTGGGGATTAATTGAGGCTCGGGTTTGGAAGTATGTTGCACTATGGCTATGCAAGGAGTACATACAAGCGAATAGCACTAGCAATGATTGTGAATTCTTAAGGCTTCCACAATGGAATATTGGGTTTCGGCGTTTTAGGAGCTGTGGTCACGGCTTAGCGCTCAGGAGCTAGGTTTCAGGGGACTGGGCCTTGAGGGGCTGGGACTGCATGCGCGTTTGAGATGAAATGTGTTGAGGAAACAATTTTGCATCTTGAAACTCATGAGAGAGATACGCATTGAGGAGTGGCTGGGCTGGCACCAGAGCGGAAGGGTTCATATCGGATTGGTGAGGGTCTTGTAGGTATAGGATCTCTTCGCGCATGTGTGCTTTAAAGTAAAGGGCTTAAGGCACAGGGGGTTCTTTGGCTTGAGTGCTCTATAACCCGACCTGGACCGCAAGACTATCGTATGATTGGGCCGGAGTCACGGCATTGCAACAGGGCTGCCCAGCAAAGAAAGGTGATCCTGGCCGATGTGAGTTGCCCACAGTTGTGAGCAACTAACCCATAAAGCATGGAACATGAAAAGACAAGCAATCACCTGGCTCCTACTTCAAAGCAGAAATCTCCCATATGTCCAGCAACCTGAAGAAGATGATGTTGAGAGGAACTGCAGGGTCTGCATTCGTACAAATCCCTTCCGCATAGTATGGCGCACCCCACAGATGCTGACATTCCATAAGCATCCTCCATAATAAACTTCATTTTTGGGGTTGGGGCGGGGCTTGTTAAAAATTGGCAGAAGGAAACCTGAAATGTGAAGAAAGGGCACCCCTAGGCGGTTTTCTACTTCAGTGACACACAATAATGAAAACCCTACTGCTGTAGGGGCCCCAACAATTACCAATATCACTTTGAAGTCTATTGAGGTACCCTTTACCATAGTTATACAAGGAATCTAGAACAATCACCTTATTGGTAATTCTTTGTAATTCTTTTAGCCCCTAAAATGTGCGCATCCCTGCCTATGTGATATAGAGGGCTGTCAGAAGTCGCTTCCCTATATACTGCGGCCCAAAATCTCTCGCATACCCCAGGTGAATCCCTACTTTCGATAGGCAATCAAATAGGAGTTTCTCTCACCTAGCCGCGTGGAATCCTTAAGGGCCCCTGCAATTTCCTTATTCAGGACCATCCATTGTGAGACAACCGCTTACCATCAGCCCCTAATCCTGAACCCCAAACCTTAAACCCTTTGCAGTCCCAGTCACGGACCCGGCTTGAGGGAACCTCTATCACCTCGTCCCCGTTCTCAGGGTCGGAGCTCTCCAAGCGCAGCTTCAACATGACCTTGCAAGGCACTTGGGGGTTCGAGGATCAGGGATTTAGAGGTGCAGCGGTCAGTGGGTTAGAGTGTAAGGGGGCCAGAAGGTTCGAGTTGGAGGAAGTTCAAGGTTTGGGGCGAAGGCTTGCGTCTCGACGAGATCAGAACAGCATCTTAGGGGGTTGTTTTGGGGCGATATAACTCAACCTGTGTTCAGGGTTTAGGCTTCAGGAGACCTCCTTTGAGCATGGTCCTGGCTGCGGGCTCAGATTCCTGACTTAAGCTGAAGGTCAACAGGTAGGACCGGTGTTGCACTGGATACCCTTGGAATGTTATCCTTGGTCGCCACATGAGTCGCGCTGTTTTGGTGGTTAAACCCAGCAAGATAATATTCCTTATATA